CTCATGTGCTAATATTTCGTTGTGTTTCTTGTTGAACATGATTCCAATACCTGTTTAGTGCTTTTACTGAAGCAAAACGGTTATTTTTCGTGATAAGGCTTCCGCAATTTTGCTTTTAACTCAGTCACCAAGCTGCCTTTTCGATCTACGTKCAAGTGTATATCCTCGAAGTGAATGTATTCAATATTAGCCGGTTGTCAAGGATACATGAGTTTCATATTGTAAAAAAACTACAAATATTACTTACATCAATATTCTGTTTGACTAATGTACCACGAARTAGTGCTCTGGTCATCCATCGTACGCCGAGCCAATCAAATGTTTTTTAAAAATTCTCTCCTACTTGTGCGAGGGGCAGTTATAATTACTGCTTTGACATACACGTAATTGAAAAAACGTTGTCGGGTTCGAGAAGGCCATTTCATTGAAGCTAAGACCGAAAAGGATTTTGGGTACTCCGAAATGTGTATTATATTTGCATATAGACATGTAAAAATGCACAGTAGAGCAAAGTGCGACGACCTAGATTAACATGCCAAAGCCACTCTCCAAAAATTAACGCTGGAGAGCTGTTTGGATGCGGTATTTTGTCTTCCCCTGCTCCCCTTCGGTCTTAGCTTTGATAATATACTCTTTTTTGAACTCGACAACGTCTTTTTCAATTAGGTGTATTCAGACCAGTGTGTATTCATTTGAGAAAAATACGATTCTTGGTAATTTGTTTTAGGCACCTGCGATCGGCGTTCCTCAGTGGGGGAGGTAACTTGGAGAATATAGAAGAAGGAGAAGGAGAAGTAGTTTTGAGAAAGTGCCGTTAACCTTAAACTTTCATGCAAGTTAGGTTAAAAAATATTCACGAAGTTGAATTATTCACTGCTCTCTCTTTCTTGCAAAAAGAGAGTAGTTAATTTTGTTATTTGTGTGAAAATGTAATTAGTAATTCGACCATCGTTCTTATTTTCAAAAATGGGTAAATATGATGACAACTTGTCATCATGCTCTGCGTTATACATTTTTTCTAATTGCCATTCCCATTGCATATTTGCATATGTTTTTTAAAGATAGAAAGTAGCTGTGCAGGTTAACTCGAAAGTTTAACCTTCTTTAACCACCACTTAATTAATTCACATTTGTAATATCTATTTTTTTGATTAATTCTTAACTTTCTGTAATTTATAACCTAAAGTTGTGAATATGTGCGCAAAATAAACTAAAGTCTCAAGGCTCTTAGATAATCTTCGTTTAATGTGAGAAGCTCTAGAATAATGTTTAGTCAAGTAGCATATGAATAGATCACACCATGCATTATGGCTGTTAGGTTGTCAGCCATCAATCATGCACCCAAACTACGTCACCTCTGAACCATTCTTCTTTTGTCCTTAAGATGTATGAGTTACACCTAATTGCAGGAATGTTGTCATATGAAAATAAAAAATAACAAAAAGAACTTAATTATTTCGCTTTTTTGAAGGCATAGACTGRCATTTTTGATATTACCCTGTTTGTATATACCAAAACATATCTTCAAAATCAATCTAGGGGGCTTTAGAATCAAAACTGAAACATCTAATTAATTCCTATTCGTTATTTTTCTTCATTTTTTCTTTAATTCTTGACAACTTTCTTGAAAGTAGGTGTAAAAAAACACTTGTTAAACTATTTGGAAGATGTTTTACGGATCGTGATAGATCTAAAACCAATCTGGAATATTTATCGCTCTTTCTAGAGACTACTGATTTGGTCATTGAATTCGAAATATATTCGCATTTCAATTAAGTGGGTTTGCCTGGCTACGCACTTCACTCTACGTATATTGGCCAGGGGTTTTACGATTCAAGAGTCTTCGGCTATTCGAGGAGAGAATAAATCTACATAAAAGCAGTATCCATTCATTCGTCGAAACCTCGCAAAGTACAATTAACTCTTATAATTAGCGATACGGTACTTGATTCCATGGGAAAGCTCTGCTTCTGACTATATRTAAAACACGCAAACTTGTCTTGGTGTATCATTGAGGGCATTTTTAAGGAATAGGAACAGAATTGAGAAGAAAAGCAATATGGTTCGACAACTAAAAAATACGGTATGTTTCCAGTGTTATGCAATCATTAAGTCTTATGTAGTTGACAAAGAGTGAGACCTGCTAGTGTCGATTTATATAATACTTAAATCATTGCCGTCTATTAAGTGGCAAATGAACTTGATGTATGAAATAAGATGGAATACTAGGCTGTCTGACAATTCATCCTAACGATCATCATGCGAACACTAAGATCATTTTTGAATCCTTTGCAACAGGCAGACTATGAAGGATTTGTGAATGAAAACAACGAAGGAATAGCAGTTGTATGTTTTACTGCTGCGTGGAGTGGACCATGTCGCATGTTTGCAAATAAATACAAGGTGAGGAGAAAATGAAATTTGACTTTCATTAGCGCTCGCAGGTAAAGCTTAGATCTCTTGTCATTTATGACATGAAGACAGTTCTTACGACCAGTTTTAGGTATAAAATTGGACGACCAAGCATGTGGAACTAACAATGATCAATGTATCGTAGACAGGGAAGAAAAACGGGTTCTACTTTCTACGTTTATGCGTTAATAAGCTTTATATTTCATAAATAGGCTCTTTTTGGATTGATTAACAAAATACCAAAATTTGGGGAAATTTAAGGAATGCGTATTTGAGATATAACGCCCTGAACGTTGGGAGAGATGATATTTTGATCAGCGCAAAAACTAACATTTTTGCTAATACCTCGAAGTAGAATTGCTCGAGGTTAGCAGAATTTTGTGCAACGTTTAAAGCACAAGAGACAAGAATGAAACACTAAACGTTTTTTATCATGAATGAGAGATAAAGAAAAAAATTGCGAAAGCTAGTAGCAGCCTTGTCGTTTTTCTGCTCTGTCTGTATCATATCATATGAATATTTTGTATTGGACCAGTAATATCGTCAGTGAATTCGAATAAYAGGGATAAATTTGACTCATGGCTTGCTGAAAGCAATGCCTCTTGCTCAATTTTTAATAATACCCCTATTACGATTCTTTGATAATTCCTTAATATTCGAAAAACCAGTGATCGGCAGCAAACCTGATAACCTTAAAGGCGCGATTCAATAAACAGTTTTCTCTGCAATAACTTGTCTCTCAACAGCGTTGCGACACGAGTTGCAAGAATGTCTACACGGTGCAACGGAGACTTAATCGTTGCCAAAAGTAGAAACGAATTCTACTTTTCGCCAAAATTGCTGCAACTTGTCTCGCAACATTTTTCAAATTGCGCTATAGGTTACACCATTGCAGCGTGTAACCAGAGTTACTTACACCAGAGTAATTAAAGTCTAGTTACACGCTGCAATGCTCCATGCAAGTTGTGTCGCAACGCCGTGGCGAGGCAAGTTGCAAAGAAAATTGCTCCGTGTAGTCGCGCCTTAAAAACCAAGCAGAGGATTTGCATGATCCTTTGTTTTTTTTCCAGCATGGCGTTTCATCGCATTTATTTMTCTAGTGTTGAAAATGTTGAGATATAGATCAAGAAAGATGTAACCAAAAGATATTTGATGGATGTTTTGAAGTCCGGCCGATAGGAGGAACCTAGAGGGGAGGGGAAGAATAATATATAATATATATAATAAGAAAATACGGCACAGAAATATTTCTGAAGAACTGACAATTCAATCCTGGTAATGGTGTACCTTGAAATTTATCAGCTTCTGGGGTTTTTCTTTTTCAGTTATCGCTTCAACTTTTCTATTCCAGCAAATGTAAAGATTTAGATAATGTCATCAACCGATTTTATCACATCGTTACATATCGTGTATTGTTTTTGTACCTTTCTCAATTCTATACCAGATTCATTTTTCATGCAGCAATATTTACCTTGATAAATTCATTAAAGGATATTGCTATCTAGAAAAAAAAAAAAAAAAAAAAAAAAAAAAGGAAGAAAAAAACATTTCTAAGAATAGGAGCCAACAGCTTCGATATCCAAATGATCGTACTGTTAGATTTTTAGTTCAGGATTTCTGTGATTTCAGACTCGACCTTCATTTATCAATATGGATCGAACTAAGCTTAACTGTACACATCAATGCATGGGTCATCAAGACGGTCGCTTTTTGTCTCCTTTTTGGGAGGATATATGAAACAATTGTGCCTTTATGTCATTAAGATAAACGAGCTATAAATATTATCATCTCAAGTACTTGAAGTCACTCATGCAAGCTAGGGGGTGTGTGTGTTGTTATTTTAGGAAATTTCAAATTCTGAGGAGTACAATGATGTTGTCTTTGCTCAAATAGACACCGAAGGTAACGAGGTAAGATCTTATAAATGATGTACTGAAGTAGACTTGATATGAAATGGTAACCATGGTAATTAATTGCAAATATGACCATAGTTAATAGATTAACTATTAACTAGAGTGACCACAGTAAATCCG